GGCATTTTAAAGGTTCGGCGGTGTCTTGCTGGCAAATGATGCAGCAATTCCAGTCTAGCAGCGCCATTCAATATAATTTGCAGTCCCAAATTGCGGTACAGAGTAATGATAAACCTGGCGAGTTTTACGAAATGATATAGCGACAAGATTAGTTCATTGTCCATTGAGCAACAAGATAAGTTCAAGGTTAGTTCAATTAAATAGTGTTAATACTAAAAAATTAAAAAAACTAAAATTAACGGAGCTTTTGGTTCATACGTCAATTATCATGGCAAAATGTGAATAAATCTATTTTACAAGCAAGGAATATTTATTCCCTTTAAAATTATAAACATTCTGTATTGTATACATGGCAAAAAACTGGAAGTGTCAACACAGTCACAGCGACATGAGAGTTTTTATACGAATTGATGTATAGCGGCAAGATTAGTTCATTGGCTTGTAGCTTCGTTTGGCTTGTAGTCAAATTTATTTAAATAAAACACTGAAAGAATTAAAAAAACTAAAATTTATATTTAATTAGATCCTGAGTTAGCTAATGCTAGTTTACACAATTAGGTCTTTCAGGTATATATTCAAATATATTGTATGACTATGTCTATATGACTATGATCTAGGTTACACAAGTGCTCCGTCAAGGGCCAAGACTGATTATTCAATTCAAAAAAATCTTTACACTTGATATATGGTCGTCTTTCTTGTCTGAATGTAGGTCAGGTTTGGCTAATATATTGTACATTACAATCATTGCACGGAATTGAGTAATGCTTCTTTTTCATCTACGTACTTATTTATTTATTATTTTTCCACGTACTGTATTCAGAATGTTTATAAACTTTATTCTTTACGGGTATATAAATATTCCTTGCTTGAAAAATAGATTCATACACATTTTACCCGGATGATAGACGTTTAGTCCGAAAGCTTGGTTAAATTTTAGGTTTTTAAAAATTCTTTAGTGGTCTCGATTTTATAAAATTTTATCATTCAGACGAAGCTATAAACTAAATAAATTGTTTACCTGGCTACAGGACTCTCTTGGTCTTGGATATATTGATTCTTTCAGCCGACCCACAACGTTTGTATAAGCATATTCTCACGGAATTTAAAAGTATATTAAAAAGTATGTGTGAAGTTCTTCAAATCGAACACATTCGTGTTTTGTTTACAACGACAGGTTGGCGCCATTAATGTAACAAAATAAACGCACGCGAGTTTTAGCTTAGTTATGCAAGTTTGAGATGTTTTTATGAAGAAAATGAAAATCAGCGACCTTCAAAACCCCTAATTCGGAACAATCCTGACATTTTTACGACACCTAGAAGCCGAAAAGTGTTTAATTTTTTATGGATGTCCGCCATCTTGGATTTTGGTAAATGCTCAGTCTACGTACGCGAATCTTTTTACGATTTGCGGGAAAATTTAAGATAGCTTAGGAGGGCTCCTAGCCTAAAATTAATCAATAGACTTAAAGGCAGTCTCATGCCAAATTTGGTGCTTTTATCCGACAGGTAACAAAAATCATAAAAAAGAATACTAAGCCACCTGACTAAAATAATCCGCCATTTTAGGTCGCAAAAATATTCTATTCCATCGACTACTACAAATTGCAATTCTTTAAAGCGCTCAAAAAAACTTGCTTTGATGCCATGTATGCGTTTAATTAATTATTTTAAATTTGCTACTTGCAAAATTGTGCTATCACTTGCAAGAACCCAATACGCTAGTGAAAATCTCACATCTTGTTAACAAATCTTGTAGCAAGCTTGTCAACACGTTGTAAGAATGTTGTCATCTGTAACGGGCACGATAGACTTCCGGTTCGCCTACGTGTGACCATGTCGTTTGGTAAGGCACGTTTATACGATGCGATTTGTCGTGTACGATTTGTATATTCTGGCGTTTGATTAGTTTAATAGCGAAATCTGATATGCAACTGTTTCTCACTAGTTCACAGCCTTCATAGTGAGCTCCATATATGTCTGGAGCGTGAACTCAAGTCCAAAAAGTGCAGCCAAGATGGCGTCAAGGAGTGTACAAGGAGTGTGCTGAAATGTCGTATTTTGACATCGATTTAGGGAGCGGTCATTATTTATGGCGGGGGGTGGCACCGAAAAGAAAAGGGTTGGGTAAACAAAATTTTAAGCGAGTAAAATGCTGGGTAATTGAAAAACAAAACAACTCAAGGGTTGGGTAAGAAAAAAATGTTGTCATTTCCAAAGCATGACTTACTAAAATATTGAAGACTAAAAAGCAATGTCAACAGTCATGTGTCAATACAATATGTGAATCAATCAGAATCACTATCTTGATATTTTTCGATTTGTCAGGAGATAAATGGTGTCTCGAAAGAAACTACATGTGCAGACAATATGAAACTTTAGAATGCAGAAAATTTCACAAGCCGTTATCAAACTCATTCCACAGAAGTGATAAAGGACATGTGTGACAACTGAATGGTATCCTTTTGTAACGTTTTGGCCAGGGGTGGGTATTTATTTTGTAATTGATTTTCAAGGTTGGGCCCGTTGGGTAATCAAATTTTTGACTTTTTAATGGTTGGGTCAGCAAAATGTTTGCCACGAAAAACTTTTCTCTTTGGTGCCACCCCCCAACATAAATAATGACCGTCCCTTAAGGTATTTACACGATGGTTTTATGAATTGATAACTTGTGTAGCGATACGGTCGTTTAGAAAAAACTAGAATTTACGACCTTCATAGCTATTGGACGTTAATTTCCGCCGTATTGGTTTCACTTTTTTCATACGCCGAATGAGTGTAGTTCTTGCTCCGGATATATAGAGAGCTTTATATTTTGCTACGAATGCGACAACGACAAGGAGATTCGTTTATTTGGATACGCCATATTACTACGCCATCTTCTTACGCCATCTTCTTACGCCGTCAAGTACTGACGCATTTTAAATCTCGTAGCCGTGGCCAAATCATAAGGGAGCTTTAGATTTGACTACGAGTACGAGTACGAGATTTGATCGCGTGCGAGGAAATTACCGTAGTCGTTTTCGTTTCCATTCAAATGTTGCTTTTATAGCAGTAAACCAACAACGAGAGAAAAAGTTTCATAAACAAATCTCCTGCAGACTAAAATCTCCTACAAAACGTGTAAATAAGTCATAACATTAAAAACAGACCAGATATTTAGTACTAATATATTACTTGCGCCGGATAAACGCTATATAAATGCTACAAATTATTTTTGGAAAACAAAAAAAAGCCAACTTTCTTTGTTTTTTTTTTAAAGTCGTCGTGAGGACTACGAGATTTCTCCACGGTTTCGTACTCAGATGGGCGACGGCAAAGAGTAGCGACGGCTACAACTTTTTCGCGTCAGTACGGGATGGCGTAAGTATACAGCATGCGTTTCGCTTGACGAATCTCGTACTCGTAGTCGTACTCGTAGTCAAATCTAAAGCTCCCTATAGATTAAGTATGGACAGATGTATAATTTCAGTAAAAAGGTTGTCCCATGGTCGCTATCTTCTAAGTGTCGCTCGCGTGATTATTCGTCATTTGGTAATACGTCATTGCTTTCAAAAATGCTTTCACCACCTTTTCTACAACTTTAATTGCTTCTAAACATTCAAAAAATGATGCTCTTGATTGTTTAATCCATAAATTTCGATCCAAAAAAGCCGCAATAAAATGCAAAAGTTCGTGTTTTTCAGGACGCCATTTAATAGCTAGCAAGTGTCATGGCTTGAGCATTACGTGTACATCTAGGGAAATTTGAGGACACGAAGTCCTATTAAGTTATACATCTGGTATATACTTAATCTGTGGCCAAATTGACAACAGGATTTGTGAAAAGTGTCGTGGTCAAACAAGCACCTACTACAAGATAATGGCGTACGTAATGGCGTAAGAAGATGGCGAGCATGTGCAAACAACGAATGTCGTAGTCGTACTCGTAGTAAAATCTAAAGCTCTCTTATATCACAGAACAGATACATACACAGAGTAATAACTGGTGTACCCCTCGGGCAAGTTACTAGATGCACGCATCCCATTGGATGGCGGCTCGCTTTAACTGCTCGAGGAAGTTGCCGAGCACGCGCAGTTGATAATTTTTTGCCCGGTCGCCTGAAAAAAAGTAGGTATATGAAAGTGTTTACGACGGCCAGTTACAGCTCTGTATGTATCTACTCTGTGCTTATAGCTCACTCATGCATGTGCATATAGCTCACTCATGCATGCTACTTTACGAGTGCTATTCACGGCATGCTACTTTACGCGATCATGTAATCACATTCGTCAGAATACGAATCGTACACGACAACGGATTCAAAACCCGTTCACAGAGTAGATACAAAATAATACAGAGTTATAACTAGTGTACCGACTTTTTTGTGCGCATGTTCGGCAAGTTCCTAGATGCACGCATCACATTGGATGGCGAGTCGCTTTAACTGCTAGCGGAACTTGCCGAGTACGCGCAGTTGATCGGTCGCCTGAAAAAAAGTAGGTACATGAAAACGTAAGTTTCCGCAGTGTTTACAACGGCCAGTTCCAGCTCTGTATATGTATCTACTCTGTGACCCGTTGCAGAAAGGAAAGCCACTGTCACTGGTCCGACAGCAGTAGAAATTTTGGAATAAACTTCATATACTTACGAAGCGGACTCGGCCAGTGAAAATGCATCAACGGCCATATTAACGACCTCACGAACCGTCGTATCCTGAAAATAGACAAAAATAAACCGATATTATAATAAAGTAATTAAATAAGTGAACAAATAGGCACTGAGCAAGTGTATAAGCATTTCGATTGAATTTCGATGTTTCCCTATAGGCTATACAGGCCAGTAAAAATTGTCCATTATTGATCCAGTGTTACTACAGGAGCAAACAGAAAATATATAGAGAATAATACATGCATGGGTGCGCGGAAATACCAGATTTATTTCGAGTGTCGAACATGATATCTCTGATACTATTATTTTATTTAAGCTGGATATCCCGATCAGTGTTAAACTGTTCTCGTTAGAGGTCCAATAATGTCATGCATATACAAAGACAAAGTATCTCAATTAATCACAAACTGTATACACGAAGTTCAAATTTTATTTTAATAATAATACATGTAACAAAATTATTATAACTAAGGCTAAGCCATCTTTCATTAAAACTGTTATAATGGCAAAACATTCCTTTAGTTTCTTTATTACAAAATGTATATCAGATCCAACGTCTGAAAGCCTATCTACACGATGGTATATACGGTACTTCAAACTAAATTATTGTCATTTTAAGACAAGGCATTTTATCTTGACTCATAGGATCGTAAATCATAAACGACAATCGTGTCGCTTGGGTTGAGTCTTTATATGTAGATTTAAATCTCATTCTAGTCTCCTAAAAATGCCATAAAACTTTGCTGTCGTGGAAAGTTTCTCGGATGAAAGTCTTCTTTTCATCTGCACACTTTTTATGGCAGAAGACATACGGTTGCACCCTCTCTATGACAATGCATCGCTGGTAATTTTTTCCATCTGTCTTCACCCAGAACCATGTACTCCACTGTATTGAGAGGTATTTTATAGTTATGGTTTTCACTTGAATATGTTCTTCCTCCAATAGCAATTATTTTATCTCCCATAGTCACTGCAGCACATTGCGATCTAAAATAAAAATTATTTCGTGTTTAAAGACATGTAAAAATGATAAAATCATCTGGCGCAGATATCACAGAGACACACGGGGGGTGTGAAGTGTTTGTGGATACGCCTTTCGATCGTAATTGTACACTTATTCAATACAACATATGAGTCACTCGTGATGCAAACACTATACACTAAATTATGTAAAACCAGCTCACCTTTGTTCCAACATGCTTGGCAACATGCGGTAGGTTTGATTTGTTATGTTATACATCAAAACTTCATTAGAAACTTCTACATACTGTTTCCAACCACCCAAAATGATGAGATCGTCATCCTGTGCGACTGCAGCCATCTCAGACCACTGATAGGGCAATGGTGCTAGATTCATCATTACTTGCGTTGTTGGGTTATACATTCGGATATTTGCTTTTGAATTCGCGCGTCTGCGAGTACGACGTGTGCTCCAACTACCAACAAGGACCACTGCATTTTCGTTGACAAAGGCAACACAATGGGGATCGTCTCTTTTGTTCTTGGCATAAGGAGCAAAAACTGTGGTTTCAAATGGAGATTTAAGGGATATTGCTGACACAGATTGTCGGCCAAAAGTCAATATTTTGTCACCATATAGAATGCCTTTAGTATTACGTTTGGGCATGGATAAAGGAAACTCATCTGAATAAGCACTGGCAATATCTAGACATTCCACTGTGTTCGTTTTTTTCCCACCACAAATCATAACCTTGTTGTCGTAAACGAAAGAAAATCCGTCCTCATGATCGAAGAGCAAAGTTTCCTCATACAAAGTCCATTTCTGAGTGGACCAGTCGAAAATTTCGTATGAATTGTTGCCACCTCCAGCTACAAATATCCGACGATTGACTGTTGCTTGGTTTTGAATTGGACTTGACATACAACTGACTTGGCTGAAGAAATTTGAAAAGGCGGAATCGGCTTTGCTACTATCACATTGTTGTCCTCGTGTTGGATTAGGCTGTCTTACTTCTCTTGCTGGCTGCAGTAGGCTGTTGCCTTGTTGCCCTTGCATTGCACGACGTCGCCTATCCCTTGGTTTTCTACCTGCCAGCCGTTGGATTTCTTCGCCTTGTCGAAGCTGTAAAATATAAGGACAAATATTTATTTTATTGTTAATATCATTTTAGTCAATTTACTCGCTTCTAATTGGTTAAAAACCGTGCCGATTGAAGATTAATCGGCACGAATACATGCTCGCGTGCATTAAACACAAAATCTAAATAACTTCTAGGAAATTTATATTTTCAGAGCTCTTATTTTGCAATGAGCTCTTTATTAAAGGGGCCCTACAGTAATTTTTTAGTCGAAAAGCCACCGTTAGGTATTGTTTACATTTTTTTGTTATTGTCGCAACTTGAAATGCGCACCACGGCTAGACTCGGTTCAAGTCCGTCTCTCAAGGGGTTGAAAATAGCGATGCACGCGAGCGGTCAAAAAAGGCGCGGAAATATGAGAGAAAAGTAGGGAGAGACGGACTTGGATACCCTGCAAGCGCGCCAAATTTTACCGTCGGACTTTTCCTGCGGAGGCGTGGCTTGCGAGTTGAGAACAACAACAAATTTTCGCGCCAATTTTTGCAAGTAACATTCGAAATGCAGCAAATGTCCCAAGTCCGTCTCTCCCTACTTTTCTCCTGAGACGGACTTGAACCAAGTCTACACCATGCACGGCATGCATGCGTCTTCCGGTGTGCGGAAGTACTCGTACTCATGGATACTGCATGTAAGATACAGCCAAACGAACCTTCGTGGAACCTTCATTTGTAACCATACAAATCTTGAGTTGCATAAGGGTTGGGTAAAAGAAAATAATACTTCGAAAATGGTTGGGTAATTAAAAAAAGTAGCCAATTTTTATTTCTCTTCGGTCTCCCCTGAGCGGGCATAAATAATGAACGGTCCCTAAACATTTCTAAAAAACAATTTATCGAATTTTGAAATTGGATATAATAATAGTAATTTACAGTCATACACTAGTAACTCCCCTGTGTTGTCTAGTTTCTTCGATGGTAATTATTCGAATGATGGCCCATGCATCTGAAAATATTTCCACTTTCTAAAGTTGTAGATGAAAAATATTCAGCGATTTTCAACGATAAAATTCCTTTGGAATTATAGTAAAACCTTCGAACTTCGGGCCATGTTCTTAAGTAATTTACTACATGCCGCTGACATGATCTGATTTGATCGCGGGCGGGGGTCACAGAACGCCCGGGATAAATTGACTATGACGTGTACATCTAGGGAAATTTGAGGACACGAAGTCCTATGAAATTACATATCTTGTATATTCTAATCTGTGATATTATTATATTGGCACTGATGAAGATCCGGGCTTACGGATCGATAACTAGCTTATAAAAAAGGTATAGCTTACGGATCGAAAGCTTATAAAAAAGGTATAATGCAGTAATAAATTTACATGGTGTCCACAAACAAAACGTATTATATGTTTTATCGCCATGCAATCCTACAAAGAAATAATTATATCTACATTAGTTTTCAAGATCAGGGAACTTAACTAACTAAAATTAATGAATATCTTTTCCTAGACTCACAGTATAGCAGGTTATACTCAGAAGTATTAAAAGGGCCGCCACATCATGCAGTGCTCACCTGTTCGTCTTGAATTTCTCGCAAAATTCTCTTAACTTCAACCAATTCTTGTTTATTCTCATCCACTTCCTTTCGCAAGACACAAGAGTGCTTCCTATATTCTCGTTTCTTCATCGCTTCGTGACAATCATCGCATGTTACCGAACGAAATTCACAGGCTTGCTGATGGCTGACGAGATCTTGTCTGTGTACCGTGTCTTCACATCCTTCGTGCGAACATTGAACAGGAGCGAAGCCGCACTCTTCGTGATGCAACAACAAAGCTTCACGGCTTACTGCGGTCATACATCCACGACTGACATACCGACATCTGTGAGATTGAAACTGCTCGAGTAGATTCGCCACAGTTCTCGGGATACGACGAAGTGTTTCGGAAGTAAGTGCATCTTGACAAACAGGGCACGTTTGTGATCGCGTTAAATGCTTGGTTATACACTTCTTACAAAAATAATGTTCATTCTTCACACACTGAACAGGTTCTTGTAGCACTTCCAAACATATATTGCACGTAAAGTGGTCAAGATATGCAGCATTGGTGTCATTTTGAGTCGACGATGCACACGCCATTGCGACATGTCTGAGCAAACAACAAAAACTTTTATATTGGTAATATGATACAATATATTCTCAGAATAAATGAATATTAATCGATCAGTCGAGCATGACAAGGAATGTTAAAAATACAATTACATAAAGAGGTAAACAAAAATATATAAATCTAATATATGTATACTAATGCTGTCCTGGGTGTGAACTCGTTTAACTAGCGTATTTTACCAATAAATAAAAAACTTTGCCGACTATATCATCTTAAAATAATTTAATAGTTCGCCTCATTAATATTCAGAACAATTTAACATGTACAAACCACGCATGTGCAGTTCAGATAAGCCAACTTGCTTTTATAATAGGTGTCAAATTTTTAAGTGTCGATTTCTGATCGTGCATCAAGGATGATTCATGTGTATTGGGGAATGATACTGTGAATATATTGTATCATTTCGCCCTATAATGATTGATATGACATTTGACATAGATTTAAACATAGATGGTGACTGCGTGTTACATTGTAGTCTGTGTACAGTCTGTATTATGCTGTATGAAGATTTAGTAGTTTGAAGTATAGAGAGAAGTAAAACTTACAATGAGTACCGAGTGTGAAGAAAATATTATTTCGATTTTGAAAAGCAATGCAAAGTCCAACGTTCGTTGATATTTAAGTTCAGTCAATCAGAACCATTAAGTTCGGTTGTGACCACACCAGAAACCTTAACAAGCTTTATTTAAGACCCCTATAGTTATAAAATGTAGATGCTTGTTCTAACGACAGACTATGTCCAAATTTAAAATATATTACAATAAGTATTATAGTTAAAAAAAGAAAGAAAGAAAACGTGAAAACTATTTACAGCATAAAGTGTTACATTGTATAATTTGATTAATCACTTGAGGAAGTGTTCTTTTATAGTATTTTTGAAAGTAATACAAGGCGTATATGTTTTTTGTTATATGTTTTTAATATAACAGTCAGGTTTTACCATGTGCATGTTTGGTAACCGGACATAAGTCATAAAATAAAATAATCATGCCTGTAATTGGTTCAAATGCTTTAAATATTCAAGACGAAAGAAAATCAGGAAAATTTTAATGTTTCCATTGACATTGTATTTTAAAAAACACACTGTACATTTAATATACTGTTATTTATGTTATCACGAACATTATAATTCATTGACTTGTACATTAATAACGACGCCATATTGAAATCGCACTGCATTGTGGTCTATAGAAACGGGCAATGGTTCAGTTTTAATATAAAGATGAAAGTGTTTTACGCGAATAAAACTATCACTGTCAAACTGGACGAGCACGGTGACAAAATTTCAGGTTAAGTGAAAGACGGTTTGTGATCTCAAATAATCACAAAAATATAGTTTCTAAAGCTTTGAAATGCTATTTCCTGCGTTCTGATGCAATAAGCACAATTTTATAGTCTTTTTTATAGTCCAATCTTATAGGAATTACAAATATTCTTGGTCCAACATGATCAGGTGCATAATGACGTTTGTAGCAATTTTTGGACACTATAAATTCGCACTTCTGTTATTGGGTGGGATACTTGGGGTACCAAATATTGACGTTTCAAGCAGCTGGAAGTAGAGCCTTCATTTGAAATTGAATAAATTCCATTCAGCATCTGTTTTCTTTCTTTGAATTTGAAGTCTTCCTGTTTTCAATTTTTCATGAAAATTATTACCGAGTTAATGACTCGGTTGACTCATTGCTAGTTACAGGCCTGAACACTTTTAAAGGTTCTTTTCGCTTTTCATACAATCCAAGACTTTAAAGACCGATCTAACCATAATCTGTCAAGATATGATGGTCTGTCGTATGTTTTAGTCTGAGTTTATGTTAATTTGTGCACGGTCACGTGGTGATTGAGCTCATTGTATTTAGTCGTGAAATGAAGTAACCGTCCAATAGAAATAGCTGAGATGAAACGTGCAGCCACGATGAATAATATTTAATGAAGTTGCATGAGACAAAGGATTTGTACACGGTGAGGTTAAGTTCAACATCAAGGTCTTCCATTTTGTGGGTTTGAAGTTTGCCGGGCTTCCAGACAATCATTCTTGACAGACTATGATCTCAGACCGGTACGCGAAAGCTACTGTAAAATTATTACGGGAGAAGACATGCGGTTGCCCCACTTCTTTCACAATGCATTGGTGGAAGCTTTTTCCACGTGTTCTCACCCAATACCAAGTACTCTACTGTCTTGACCGCCACAGACTGATGACGTTCATTTTCTGAATTTCCACCAATAGCAATGATAGTATCTCCCATAATTACTGAAGCACATCCTGATCTAAAAAGATAAATTTCCTTTTTTAACCGAGGGCAATTCCATGACAACTTAGAAAATATTGACATATAATTGCATTTATTCATGTTTACAATCAGTAAATGAAGATGATATCAAATCAAACAAAATTGTCTTGCAGTGAGCTCCATATATAACTGGAGCGAGAACCCGAGCCCAAAAAGTGAAGTCAAAGATGGAGGTACTGGACGACTAATATTATGATTTTATGTACTGGTAACTTGATTAGCGATACAGTACGTAAAAAACTGGAATTAGCTAGGAAAAATCGTATTAAAACTGTTTCGGATTGATAGGGATACAACCAGCAAAAAAATAATACAAGGAAAACTTCGACGTTTCGAGCGAAGATCGCTACTAACATCCAGACCAAGGGCCAGGGCCGTAGCAATGGGGCGGGGGGGGGTGACACCCCCTGAAAAAGTCTGTGGAAAAATTTTATCGGCAAAACGTATTGTATTGTGAACTTTATTTAGTCACGGTGGACTCATCAGGATTTTACACACTTATGATAAAGTAACAAAGGAAATTAGATATATGATAAATTATACTATACATATTTACAAAACTACCTGTTTTTCATGAGTGCCGTGCATTAAATTGATAAAATTAGATAAAATATTAAAAAATTATTGAATAAAGTTGCTACAGTCAGACTTAAATTTATGTAAAGTACTAGCCTGTCTTAACTCAGTAGGAAGAGAATTCCACAGTACTGCACCGCTATAACTAACGCTATTTTTCAAGTAATTAGTACGCGGTAGTGACAAAGCTAGTTTGTTACTGGTGTCTCTCAATGCATAATTTGTGATACTATTGCGATCAACAAACATATTAGAAAGATAATCTGGAGCAAGACCATTCAAGGATTTATACACCATGATAGCCTTGGTAAGCCTACGCTGAGATACAAGATTTTTCCATCCAAGACTTTCGAAAAGATAATCGGCATTTGTATCATAACTAGAAGATGTCAATGCCCTGGCAGCACGATTTTGTAATTTTTGCAATTTGTTAACTAGATAACTACTGCAACTATCCCAGACAGCAGAGCAGTAGTCGAAATATGGTTGAACTAAGCACTTGTAAATAAGTTGCATTGTGGTAAAAAGAACATAAGGTCTAATGCGTTTTAGTGCACCAATACCGGAAGCAACTTTTTTACTCAGTTTCTCAATATGAACATTCCAGGATAAGTTCTCATCAATGTGTACGCCGAGTGATTTTGTATGAGAGACTTGTTTAACTGGAACGTTATTTATTACTAATAAAAGAGTAGATTGAAAAGTGTTTATTCTTTGGCGAGAGCCAATTAGCATAAATTCAGTTTTAGTCTGGTTTAAAGTAAGTTTGTTTGCTGATAACCATTCACTGACACTAGCAAGATCCTCGTTAAGATTATGATTAATTTCATGTATGTTATTACTTGCATATGTCAAATTAGTGTCATCAGCAAAAATTCGTGCCCGAGAGTGTATTAGACAATTAGGAAGATCATTAATATAGATTAAAAATAAAAGCGGGCCTAATATAGTTCCCTGAGGAACCCCACATTGTAGTAATCGATTGGAGGAGAAATGACCGTTAACAAAACACTTTTGATTACGTTCATTTAGATACGATCTTAACCAGTTACCCGCAGTTCCCTTGATTCCATATGCATTAAGTTTGTTCAGCAATATTTCATGATCTACAGTGTCGAACGCTTTTTTAAGATCAAGAAACATTACAGCATTTACATTACCACTGTCAATATTATAAGCCCATTCGTTGGTAGCCTCAAGAAGAGAGGTGACAGTAGAATGTAGGCCTCGAAATCCCGATTGATTATTAGTTAATAATTCATTTTCAGTTTACGACGCATCGCTTCCACTTAGTTAAATAGTTCAAAATCTTCAATAGTCGCAGCCTAATATATTACACAATTTTGTTGCATCACTGTCCTGTTACGGAGCAACTGTGCTCTTTGTTTACACGCGTGTTGTATCATGCTATACTATACCAGGTGGCTATCAGTAACCAGAGCCCACGGTTATTTACAGTACCAATCGATTGTCATTGGGTTCATCTCGTGATTCAAGATGGCGTCTAGCAAACAGAAACATAATTGCTATTGTAATCTAATGCCATAGCCGTTGTAGCTGAGCGAAGATCTACGAGTTGTGCACTTGATCATTCTGCTAAATTCAAAAATAGCTATCCGCCTCTTTTCTACAGAATTTTCAAATAAAAATGGAACGATGTTTTGTAACGTGTACACTAAATACAGTACATATAGGTTGCTCAGTTCAGCAGTAAACAGTTACCCTCTCTTCTGTTATTTAATTAACATTTTTAGCAGGTCAAAACTTTTACAGATAACGACCTACACTTTCCATTCAGCTAGATTACGCATATTCTGCCATTATTTTTACTTATAATTAATCTTCTCATGCAATATAGGCCTACTCTGGGGCGGTAAATCGCCTTAAATCGCCCTAAATCGCCTAAAATCACAGGAGGCCCAGGCTCGATTTGCCCGCGCCCGCCTGTGCCTTCCTTATAACGAGGGAAGGAAGGAAACATTGAGACCAAAATAGCCCAGACTGGCATATGTCACACGAAACTATCCTCGATTTTTCGCCTTTAATGCATTTCTTTCACGATTAATCGATATCCCCTGCAAGAATGATACCGTATAACTCTCAAAACAACGATGCTTTAATCAAAGAGCTTAAATTCGCTCTGAAATCCGTGAGGGAATAACAAAATTCGCCCAAAATATATCCGCGTGCCGGGTTTGCTGGACAAAAAGCGGAAGTCGTTGAACAACTCAAAATACACTCAACCCTGATTGGACAACGAAAATCAACAAACATTTCAAATTTCTGTAGTCAGTAATGTAATATAAATTTGAATCAAAACAATTAACAAATGTTGTCGGGGGAAAACCAGTGCAAATCTAAATATTTAAATTTAAGAAGTTTAGTCAGTATAGTAACGTTTGTGAATTGTTTTGATTCAAATAATCAAATTATTACAGTACTGTTCCAAGTACTGTCCCCCTTCCCAGTGCCAGTGGAGAGAAATTTGAAATGTTTGTTGATTTTCGTTGTCCAATCAGGGTTGAGTGTATTTTGAGTTGTTCAACGACTTCCGCTTTTTGTCCCGCAAACCCGGCACGCGGATATATTTTGGGCGAATTTTGTTATTCCCTCACGGATTTCAGAGCGAATTTAAGCTCTTTGATTAAAGCATCGTTGTTTTGAGAGTTATACGGTATCTTGCAGGGGATATCGATTAATCGTGAAAGAAATGCATTAAAGGCGAAAAATCGAGGATAGTTCCGTGTGACATATGCCAGTCTGGGCTATTTTGGTCTCAATGTTTCCTTCCTTCCCTCGTTATAAGGAAGGCACAGGCGGGCGCGGGCAAATCGAGCCTGGGCCTCCTGTGATCACACTCGACACTTGATACGCGATATCCCACAACTCATTGCGCGCGTGGCACTTGTCTTCTAAAATAGATACACCACAAAGCACTCCCTAGTTTTACTATCCATGGGATTTTAATTAAAGGATTTAAAGTAATATTAAACTTCATTTCAAGTTTTTTTCTGATTATAAGAATATTATTCTAGGTTGGAAAAATGTTATTCTTATAATAAGAAAAAAAATTGTCGAATGTTCAAATTCATGTCTTGTTCTCAAAACGAGATTTTTTCTTGAAATACTGCTTAAGATAAGAAATAGTTACTTAAGATAAAAATAATAATCTAAAAAATAAGACTATTATTCTAGACTAGAATTTGATGTTTTGCAGTGCACGATTTTATGTGAAATTTCACTTTTTACCGTCCATGTGAAATCCTTTAAATCACATAGGAAATTTCGTTTGTAACTTTATGTGAATTCCTTTCACATATGAAATTTCACTTTTTACTTCATGTGAAATCTTTCACATGTGAAATTTCAATTTTTTACTTTATATAAAATCATTTGTCATGTGAAATTTCACTTGTAATTTCATGTGAAATCTATTCACATGTAAAATTTCACTTGTATTCAGTGGCGTGGGGGGGGGGGGACAGGGGGATACCCCAATTATATTTTGCCCACTACCACATTTTGCCCCCCCCCCAAAAAAAAATGTATGGTTTATAAGTTCTCATTACTCATTAGTCATTAGTGAATGCGCGTATAATACTGTTTTCACAGTTTCAATATTATTTTGTAAGTCTCCGAATGGTAAAACTTGCCAATACTCCAATAATACGTTTCAAAAAAGGCAAAAAAGCTTTAGTTTTGCTGAGTTAAATTCTCAAACATGTAAGGCACTAATAAGATGAACGTATCACGAAATTTGAATAAACCACGTCGCATATATGGGGGCGAATATCCTAAAGGGGGTCGATATTCCTATGGTTGGGGAGTTGGGCGAATCTCCTTGATGGGGGAAGTCCTATGACAACGGCATGGGCAAATAGCACTACCTATTTAACAATTCTATCTTGCCCCCCCCAAAAAAATATGAGTTTGCCCCTCAAATCCCCCCAACCCCATTTTCAATTTCATGTGAATCCTTTCACATGTGAAATTTCATTGTAATTTTTAATTTCATGTGAAACCTTTCACATGTGAAATTTCATTGTAATTTTTAATTTCATGTGAAACCTTTCACATGTCAAATTTCATTGTAATTTTTAATTTCATGTGAAACCTTTCACATGTGAAATTTCAGTCGTAATTTCATGTGAAATCCTTTCACGTACATGCGAAATTTCACTTTGTAATTTGTAATGTTATGTGAAATCCTTATCTTTTCACATGTGAAATTTCACTTGTAATTTTTTAATGTGAAATCTTTTCACATATGTGAAATTTCACTTGTACATGTAATTTGTAATTTCATGAGAAATCCTTTCACATGTGAAATTTCAGTCTAAATTTCATGTGAAATCCTTTCACGTACATACATGTGAAATTTCACTTTGTAATTTGTAATTCATGTGAAATTGTCATCTTTTCACATGTGAAATTTCAGTCGTAATAGTTCATGTGAAATCCTGTCACATACATGCATGTGAAATTTCACTTTGTAATTTGTAATTCATGTGAAATCCTTATCTTTTCCCAAGTGAAATTTCACTTGTAATTTAATGTGAAATCCTTTCGCGTACATGTGAAATTTCACTTTGTAATTTGTAATTCATGTGAAATCGTCATCTTTTCACATGTGAAATTTCAGTCGTAATTTCATGTGAAATCCTGTCACGTACATGTGAAATTTCACTTTGTAATTTGTAATTCATGTAAAATCCTTATCTTTTCACATGTGAAATTTCACTTGTAATTTCATGTGAAATCCTTTAACGTACATGTAAAATTTCACTTTGTCAGTTTGTAACGTTTATGTGAAATTCTTTCACATGTGAAATTTCACTTGTGATTTCATGTGAAATCTTTTCACATGTGAAATGCCACATGCGATTTCATGTGAAATTCTTTCACATGTGAAATGTCACATGTAATTTCATGTGAAATACTTTCACGTGTGAAATGTCACATGTGATTTCATGTGAAATCATTTCACATGTGAAATGTCACATGTGATTTCATGTGAAATCTTTTCACATGTGACATTTCACATGTGATTTCATGTGAAATCTTTTCACATGTTAAATTTCACATAAGATCACATAATTTCACATGTTATCACATGATTTCACATGAAATCACACGTGTGAATTCATGTGGATTTTTTGTAAGGGGGAGCCAGCGAAAATTTTGTTTTAAATTATTAAAATGAGCAAAAGCAAGTTTTGGGGTTCCTCGTTTGGGAAGAAAACAGTGGTTGTGCAAGAATTTAAGTTTGTTTATTCCTTTGAAAAATGTCCTGGATAAACGACTTTAAACTGAAATCAATCCGCCAATATTAATTTCCGACGTATATGGCGGGAAGATTAAATATGAAAGAACTCCGCGAGTATTTGCAGCAGAAATACGAAAATACCACCAAAAAATTCTGCTTAATCGAAACTATCTATTCCGAAATATTGTATAATTTTATTTTTTCTCGCTCAATTTCAAGCGAATTTCTTACCTTGAAATGATCAATGCGGTGAAATTCATGCAAAGACTCATATCGCATTTTAATTTTGCGTTGAAATAATCCTTCCATACAGACATTTACAAATATAAATGGTATTTATTTATATTGTTGTTGAAAAGTTACGATGTTTTAGGCATAAAGAACTAGCTCTGATTCCTAGACAAAGTAAAATGAGCCTTGGACACATGTTTGGTTGTTTGTTACATACATAGTAGACCAAGTATTCATACTTATATCTTACTAATTTGGCTCTTATTATAATTTCCAGTGGCACCATATAGATTATGTCTATAAAAAGTTTTTATTTGCAGTGACGAAGATATTGACCCTGTTGCTAGCTGCTGTTCCTGTTTCATACCCTCAGGGAAGTAGCAGTTCTGACAGTTATGAGAACGCCACTCCCCAACTCCCATTACGAAAACGTGTAAGTGTAGAGGGAAGGTAGGGGATGAGTAGAGGTAAGCCCAGCCACTAGGACCCAAGGTTTTTAAAGCTCCCTGTCTAGCACCCCCATTAGCCCCATAAGTACATGACGGATATGGTGATCCTGACACTAGGAATATTATACCAGAGTTTGTCCCTCACCGACAAGGTTTCCTCCATGCCCCCTGTTCTGTGTTGCTGCCATAAAAATATAATATATCACAAGCGAGACGTCTTCTGGCATAGACGCAACATTGAAACGGGTGGAGGGAGGGAGGGGGTGGGGGATACCTATCTGTAAAAAATGCATATTGTCTATATAACGTTCCTAAAACTAAATTGTCCCATAGTATAATGGCAAATATTATCTGTGGTGTGCGCACTGATCGATCTACGGTTATGTTAATTAATTCAGTTGGTGGTTACTGTAGTTTAAGAAAGTACGCATCGTCATTTTTAAACTAATATCGTATGTTTTGCTTTTCATAATAGTTCACTTGCTACAAACATAATATTTTCAACTACGGGGGGGGGGGGGGGTGAGCGAGGGTACTATGATAACGTTAAAAAATATTTATTATAAATACTTAACGTTAATTTATTATTATAAATACGCAACGTTAAGTATAATAAATATATTGTACTAGAAAAGAACACCCCATTTTTTACGACTAGTGACGCCCCTCTTGCCTGACTTATGAGATGGAGTGTGGATAGGGTAAACACAGAAATCATGGATATTCGTTGGCGTATGTTCAAATTACATCGCCAAATACCAAGAGATGAACAAAAATATATAAAACCTTGTGATTCTTGCTTTGCCAAGCTCATCTTAGATAATGTAGAGCGGTAGCAAACAACAATTTACTAACAGGATGAGATAATTGGCTTAATGATATACTTGTCTGTCACCAAATAATTTATAGATCGATGCTCACAGGCGGATCTCAGCATAAAATACAATGTTTTATTAGTTTTTTAATCATTAACATTATGCATTTGCTAATTTTTATCACAGAATATGTACACAGCAAAAATCATTTTCTTATTAAGAAAAAAATTTCTTAGTTTAAGAAAAAAAATCTTAAAATAAGAAAATAATTTTCTTAGTAAGAAAAAATTTTCTTGAAATAAGAAATTTTTGAATCCCAAGATATCTTTTTCTTAAAATAAGAAAAAAATTTCTTAATGAGAAAATACGATTTTCTTTCTTTCTTAATAAGAAAACATTTTCTTAAAATAAGAAAATACGATTTTCTTACTTTAAGACTATGTTCGTAAGACAAGAAATGAAATTCTTAAAATACAAAATTATAAAATAGTAAGACATTATTACTTAAATTTTCGAAGCAAGAAAATGTAAAATGCTAGTGTTATAGGACAACTTATATCTTAACAAGACTTAGAACAACGTATATGTTATTGCGTCAGGTAAATTGGTAGTTTTTATTTCGAATTGAAGAGACTATATGACCGGCAGCTCACGGTTGATCAAACACTAAATGGCTGGCAGTACATTGACTATATAGTTAATTTAAAGTTGAATCTTCAGTATAAGATAGATAAACCGATCCCCAATCCCAAACCCTTCTCTAACCCTAACCCTAACCTTTTGAGAGTTAGACCGGCTGGCGGTAATATGGTCACTTTGTTTTTATTTCGTTTCCAAAATTTGAGCTCGTTTCAGTTTTATTGAATCGTTGAAGAGAATTTTTGCCCTCTGGAATTTTTATCCAAGCAGGAATAGTTCGCCATAGTTCGCGTATTCACTAAACGCCTGGTACCTAGTTTACCTTTTAGAACGCGGAGCATCGCGGGATAGCGTCGTTTTACATTTTTGTGAAAACGCCTTCAAGCCAATTTAAATGGCAAATAACGATGGGAAAAGCATCAGAAAGTCCTTAAAAAGTTGTTCAGATACCACAGGTAAGAATAATTGTATATTTGACTTGTTATTTAAACAGATTCATTGCGAAATAATGTAGTGATTATGACTGTTTACTTGAGCGAAGTGTGAAAATATTCCATTGAATGTTTGAATTTGCCGCGTTTGTTTTGCATATAAAACATGCAAATGTTGCTTTCAGGCAAGGGACGAAAGATTAAAATATAAATTCATATCTAAAATATAAATTCAAATCTATTGTTGTGAATTCCGTACTAATTTACGCACTAATATTAAAAATTTGACAATATTAATTAAATTGCCTTTGACATTGGCACTTTGCTAGACCTTTGTCAAGACTCAAGGCTATATAGTGATATGAAATAAGATATTATACATACGGATGTTTTTGAAGATCTGTTAGCATTTTAATACAGGTACTTGAATAAGGATTGGAATTACAGGAGAATGACATCATTTAATCTGATATTTTCAGTGTATAGATAGCTGAATAACTGAATTGCATCCTACTTTATTGTTTACTCTGTCTAATGCCAGAGGATTTTCCTACTTGCCTTGCCGGATAACTTGGCTACTGTAGAGAATGTTTAGTTTTCCCGACTTACTATACTTCACCCGGGAAACTCTGCAACCCTAGATAGAATGTATATGCCTTTCATTTAAAATAATAGCCCAAAAATACATACAAATCATTAGGTATGTTTATAGCTTTCCTCTATTTCTAGCAGCTTATTCTTGCCTATTTTGTAATCATGTTTTTTAAACCTTTTGAATGATCCAAATTGTGTTTGTATTTTGTCATTGCGCAGCAATAATGGGGTAATTTGATTCCATATAAATAGACTGCTTTTTTGTCCTGCCTGAGTAACTCACCTTGCCGGGTAACTCGCCTACTGATGTACCGATATCCATATTGGTGTATCAGTCATCTTTGAATTTTGTGAAATGACATGTATTATCGGTATCGGCAAAGTATTGGTCTTTTATTATCAGTTATCAGAATATCTGTGAATTTCCATATATCGGTGCATCACTAATACAGTTCAAGATTGTGTTTATATGAGAAAATGCCATCCTGCTCGCTGGGACAATTTTGTTATGTTGACATTGTTTTGACATTTTTTAAAAATAGCTTGCAGCTCGGCATCTTTGAACATTCATCCTGGCCCAGCCTGCTTGTGAGTGTATATGTGGAGAAATTTTCATCCCAATAAGCAACATTGTGGCATCAGAGCCAGCCTGCTTGTGGATCCATATAAACACATGATATTTTTTTCTAGATAAATATACCTAATGCAGTAAGATCTTGCTTACTGGGCTGTCCCGCTAAGCGGTCCAGCCCAGCTTCCATATAAATACATTGTACAGCTGGTTTAATTTAAAGAACCATGAACAGCAACCGGAAGTAAACTATACTGTGTGATATGGTATTGCAGCTTTGGTGCATGAATAAGGGATAATAATCTACTGGGCACTTGCCACAAGAAAATGATAGCTGAATCCACGACATCTGTATCTACCTACAGCCATGTCTCTGCTTAATAAAATTTATATAAAACATATGTAGTTTAATACTTCCTCTTTCGTCTTCTACCAATATGAACAGGTGATTGGCCGATTATAACAATAAACAATAAACCCTTTGTATTAGATAAGAATGATATTATATTATAAATAATATTAAATTAATTATATAAATGAATTATATTATAAGTAATAAGTCATAAAATTAATACTCGTCTATCTTTTTAACATAGACAGATTTTCATATTTTTTACTGTGGTGCATGGTGCCAGAAATTTTAGGGGGGAGGGGGTAGTGAGCCGTGAGCAGGTGACTGAAGCATCACAAAGTGTCACCATACCCCAGTAAGGTCTATATTCTAGAGGTGGAGCACTAGAGATGTGAGGGGGAGTCTAGAGAGCAGAAAACAAAGTATCCCTGAAGAAATTTAAAAAAAATCATGATTCCTAGCTTTGAAAAATTTTTTGAAGTGGTCATATCAATGGATTTGGCATGTCCGATTGTCTGATGAGACTTGGGAGTGTTAAACGTAAAATGAACCTAATAGATTGACACAATATGCTTTTACCAGTTTTATAAAGTCATTGACATTGTGTTGTTTGAATCCGAATACATTTTATGATGCAACTCCGATGTAAATAATAATTGGGGCATAAAGATTAAATCTAGGCAAGTCTATTTTCTAAAACCATTAAAAACTAAAAATAATGTTCGTAAAAGATCCAAATGTTCCTTCCGAGCAAGCTATTTGCATGAGAAGGCACTGCAAACTCTATTCAGGGGAGATAATAGAGTTTCAAAACTTTACAATTGCTCCAATAAACCAGTGAATGCACTGTCTTTTTCAATTTGAGTGTACTCCTACGTTTATTTTATATCATCAACACTCTGCATGTTGGAGTGGACTATTTAATTATTTTTTATTATGCCAAATGTTGGGGGGGGGGTTGAAATACTTTTTTGGAGAGGTGGTCATTTTGTTTGGGGGAGGAGTCCCCCCCCCCACTCACAAAATCCGTCTATGCTTTTTAATCTAAAGTTAACTTAGGTAACTGAGGAGTGATTCAGATTAGCATGCAAGTCTCCAAGTCTATTGTTCTTGCAATTTTGTATATATTATAGCTATTTCAATTAAGGTTGTCCTCCAGGCAAAGCAGAAAAGTCGAATACAAGCGCGAAAGGCTGCTGAAAATCGCTAATAAATTCATTTGTATTTCTGTATACACCACATATAATACTTAGAGTGATGCTTACATTCTCAATATGTAAGTAAACTTTTACAGATTACTAGCTGTATAAGGATGTATATATGATGGATCTCCAGTGGCATTTGCATGATGTGTTTGGAACAGTGTTTAATGTGCATTATAAAAAAATCTATGGACTTTGAACAAACGATTTGTCAGATAATATTGCTTGTCATGTGAAAATTACTGCTTCAGGTCTTCAGGAGAACTTAAATTTGCTACAACACATTGCTGTGCAATCAGAACTACACCTAGTTGTATAACAGTGGCTGAAAAAAGAACTTGTATAAATTGACAATAATTTGATGTTTTGTATGTTACTCTGAGTGTATATCCACACCGGGCAGGTTAAAAAGTTAGCCTGACCATGGTGGAAATCGAACCCGCAACTTTTGGGATACTAGTCCAATGCTCTGCTAACTCCATATACACTCAGAGTAACATCAAAAACAATATTCACCTGAGTACCTGTACATATAAACACCCAAACAACACATTCTTAATAAGAAAATTCTTTTTAAGAAAAATTTCTTGATTTGAGAAATTATTTTCTTAAAATAAGAAATTATTTTCTTATTTTAAGAAAATTTTCTTATTTCAAGAATTTTTGTTCTTGGGAGAATAACAAGAAAATTTTCTTAATAAGAAAGTTCTTTTTAAGAATAATTTCTTGTTTTGAGAAATTATTTTCTTAAAATAAGAAATTATTTTCTTAATTTAAGAAAATTTTCTTATTTCAAGAAAACATTTTTCTTGGGAGAATAACAAGAAAATTTTCTTAATAAGAAAAAAAATTTCTTGATTTGAGAAAATATTTTCTTAAAATAAGAAAATATTTTCTCAATTTAAGAATTTTCT